GTGTGTGTATGTGTGTGTGTGTGTGTGTGTGTGTGTGTGTGTGTGCGTTTGTTTGTTTGTGCGCTTGTCTAAAAATGTAGATTACAATATTAGTAATATACAAACCTTTGGTTCACTATTAGAATGTCGACGCGTTGTCAGAACTCTTACATTGTAGTTCACGATTAGGAAGTGATTATCATCTGCGTTTCAAGTCCGATATATCGACAGGTGCTTAAAACTTTTAAGGCAATATACAAAATACAGGTGTCTTTACATGGTGATACAGTATCACTAGAGCCTTTGTCGTGATTGCTACTGATTGTGGCAAATAGGAGACCACTGACTGGTAGTACACCATAGCCACCCCATACCTTTCTTCGCTCTCCTTCTCCTAGTTTCGACCTTCAGTAGTTCGGGAAATCTAGTCGGAAGTCAGCGAGTGTATATTTATTCTCTCAGCGGAACACCTGCTCTGGTGTGTTGATTGTTAAGCCAGATCTTCTGCTTTTGTCTATTGGTGTTTGGTGCTATGCTAGTAGATATGCGTGGTGCAAATGTGAAGTGAGACCAACGTGGCGCACTTCAACCGTGCATATTTATATCACATATACAGTCGAATTGCATAAATGCAGACTCTATCTCTCAAATTTTCTCTCTCGTTTTCCGTCTCTGTGTCTCTATCCTCTCTCCTCGCGCTCTAGAGACAATACATTTAGGAGCCCTATGTCGAGTCGACAGACGTGTGACTGTGTACATACTATACAATCTATGGCAAAATAGCAAAATTCCGAAAATTTACGCGCGCAAAACTCAAAACTTACGGACGAACTTCATATTATGAAAGTAGCCCGTGATATGTCTGTCAGAATTGTTCATGATGGCGATGTTCGGATTCAGGTCTGAGGACTGTGTGGAGCGTGAGCCGATGGCGCAGAGTCCTTAATATGCAGTTTTATTTTGTTGTCAAAGAATATTGTCCTTCATTATTAAATGTTAAATATCGTATTGATGCAAAATCTTGAAACAAACAATAAATAGATTCGGATCACTTTGTGCTTTTAAATACAGTAAACTGCTGCACACTATGACGGTATTTTATACCGAGGCGATCCATCACCACTATTCACTTTCTCAAATCTAGACGAATTAGTCATTATTGGTTTTGGCGACTCTGCTTTATTTTCGTATGAAATTCCTTATGGCTTGGTGGCCAGCTTGCGAAAGACTCTTGTAAGTCACGAACTGAATCTAATTTGTACATGTGGATGATATTAAGGTTGCTGAATTCGCGGATAACAGTACGACAATGCCATATGCTGTGTTTGACTTTAACTGGGGTGGCCGTGACCATCGGATGCTCTACTACATTGGCAATTTCAACAGAGACCCGTGGTCTGGAGTGCTGTGGGCGTGGACACACTATTGGACGGCTACGTACGGCTCACGGACGTGTATGAGTTAGTTGACCTAGCTTTAACGAGTACAGCACACCCAGCAAGGAGGCTAGCTGAAGCGATCACTCCCCTTTACTTCTACAACAATACGAAACTCAAATTTCTCAGTTGTTGAATATGAGCTGTTTTAAATGTATCGGATATGCACTGAATGTAGACTGTACCGCAAGCATACTTTACCACGCGGGTTGCTCGTGGCATGAGATACCTTGCATGATATTGCTACCAGTTGTTGCCAGATGTTAAACGATTGTGTACTTTTCTGTCAAAACAAACTACACATTATAATTTCTCCTTAACACTGGGAGTCACTGTACAATATTCATTAAGCCAGTACTTAGGATCTTAGGATCCCTATGTCAGAATGGTGTAAACTCGATGGGTTTTTACGTTCTTGATGAATGAGAAGGAGACTGTCATATCCGCAGGACTTGTCGTGGAAACAGTGAAATTGCAGTACTCTATCAGTGTATATAGTCTGATTAATAGCTGATCTGTAGTTTCAATTGAATATGCTAGACTGCTAGTTTCATAGCTCAATAAAGAGATATAATTTTCTTTGACAGCGCTATCAGGATGTAAATAAGATTTATATATAGCTCAAAGCACAAACTAGCGTTATGCTTCCCGCAACATTACCAGGAAACTTGTACGCTTTCAATCAAGCCCTAGCCACGCCGAAGTACGAGATACAAATTACTTTCAGTATACTCTCCTCTTCGGCACTTCCTCGTAAACATAAATATATACCTGTGGCTGTTCGTGACGTGAGACGTGAGTGTCAATCATTTTTCTAAAAAATAAATTGAAAATCCCTTCGAGTAGATCGTTGATTGTGGAATGTTGAATTGCTTTTTCCCATTTGTAGAGGAAACAATATTTGAATTTTCAGGAAATTTCAGGAATCTAAATTTTTTAGACATTCTATAGAAACAAACGCGCAAGAGGAATTGAGCCTCTCTCTAGAGGTTGAAACTCAGAAACTTGAATGTACATTGAACCTTTTATATTTTCTTTTTTTTTGAAACATGTATTCACGTTTGACCGTGAACAATCAATCTGCCACACCATTTGAAGCACAGGAACATTATATGCAAACTACTTTTCCAATCGCAAATTAGCACTAAGTGTCAGGTGAGGGATCGACGGTAATTCACGTGCAATTACCAAACATGTTTATATGGTGGGGTGGATTGTGTTTGCGCGTGAAATAGCACGTTTCACCGACCTGGCCGTTTACGAAAAAAACATCAAAATGGTAATTAAGTATTAGAGCTGAAAAGCACAGAACTACCTGCTTGTTAGCTTACTTTTGACACAGCTACATTCCCCACACAACCAAAGGACAACTACAATCAATTGAGAATGGGAAGATCAAAGCGCGATTCAGTATCATCCCTGACGAGTGATGCCAGCAAACCAAACGTCGTCAATTGGAGGTATTCTGTTGTTAAAGTCACAAGTGACGAACTACTGTGTGCATGCACAGTGACAGCGAGTTGCGATCGATTCCGACTACTTACCAGCATTTATCATTCGTTCATTAAAAACTACGTGTTCTTCAACTAGATCCGTTTCGTTTATATCACTCTATCCCAGCGATGCGGTGGACCGGGTACCAGATCGGGGGTACAAGGTGCTGGCGCAGAATGACCTGGAGCGCGGAAGACCTCGCAAGCGACGTCTCGACGATGATGCGTCCGAGTGCAGTTCTATGTATGGAGGCCTAAATCCTAGCATTAGCGAGAGCGTGGGAAAGAGCCTCGCAGCTGAAGGTAGTGGAGGAGGATCCAAAAGTGGCGAACGCACTGGTACGCGAGGGCGCAAGCGGGATAAGCGCCGCACCAGAACCGCGGTCTGTTGCCGCTACGTGGTCTTGTTCTTGCTGCAGGTGTGAATGCGTCGAGTACTTTTGGATTGATTGCTTGCTGCCAAACGTTGAGTGCCATCATCGTCGCAATTTCGACAACGTTAAAAAACAGCTGTCTGTATCTACAGGCTATCGTATCTACCATAGCATATGTTATTATCTACTGACCATCATACAATACTTGCATTGTGTCCCACCTCAGATTGCTGTTGTAGTCTCCGCCTCCTTTGCACTAGTATCCGTATTAAGACTGGCGTCCACCCGTGCCAACGCATTCAGCATCGCATCTGAAACCGTGAGCGCTGCACACAGTCAAATCCCTGGGGGTCTCATCGGTACAGATACTGCTTGCAACTACCGCAAACACTGCTCATTTAAACGAAATATTGTGTTGTTGAGATTGTTGAACATACAACAGGTCTCTTTAGCTCGCTATTCCCATATCACAACATTCTCTGAAAAGTTCTTTACTCGCATGTATTACACTATTTGCCTGTTCCATTTGTTCGAGCAGTGATTCTAACCATCCTAACCGGAAAAGGCACCTATATTTTTTGACACTCACCAACTATGGTAATAATCTGTACACTTTATCATTTACTGTGGTAACAGGGACATTGATCAGCTCTGCCTCGTCTGCGGGGATGCTGTTGATTCTCGCCGTGCCATATGCTCTGATGTTTGTCTACTGTCTACCTAAGCTCTTCCAGGAGAATCAATCCAGGTCTGAATTAAATCACAACCAGGGAATTTTTTGAATGTTGTGATGACCATTGCGACGTCGGTCACAAATGATGGCCTGTTTTTTTAACTTTTTACACTATCTTCCTTTGCCACGAGCATGTTGCGACTAAAACCTCCAAACAAACACTGTAGCTGAATACAAACACGCTGTATGTCACTCTTCAGCGGTATCCGATGTTTTGAAATCATACTGTCGGTGGTACTGGCCGTTCTGCAGAGTGTGGGCCACTGTATTCTGCTCTTCCACGTGTTGCCGTTGATCAACAGTTCTATGCTCACACTGCTGGTACTACCCTCCTTTGCTCTGCCTGGCAAGTACAGTTGTGTGTTTGTGCACAAGTGACCAGTCACACTCCAGTTTTGCTACAAGGCCCTTTTCTCACACTGCATTCCAAACGTTAAATTTTTCTCCCTCTTCGTAGTGGGCATGTATTCACACCATTAAACGCATATTCCCATCTGTTTAAAGTATTACAACCACAATCTTTACAAACACAGGCGCGGCTTTGAAGCTTGTGCGCGCGCGTTCAACCCCCACTCTCATCGTGGACCTTCTGACCGTTATTTTACTCTCTGGTTCTCTGGGGGCAGTTCTGTACCTACTCCACGAGCCCACCTTGTACTGGCTACTACCGGTGTGCATACTTCTAAGTGGCAGTGCCGATGCACACGCGGCTGTGTCTGCCTACCGACTGTGGGCGTCTAAGCCACCCAGACGATACCTAATTGCGGCCATATCCCATTTCTTGTGCTTGATTGCGGTTTGTGCGGGGGTTGGTATTAGTCAGATGTTCGGCGCTCAGCCTGCCTCGTGGAGAAGGTGCGGTAGCGTTCCCGTAGTTAGTGTGTTGTATCTTACTTTGATATTGCAGTATATACCCGTTGTTTGCTGTATCTGTATATTCCCGATCACTTCGGTAGCATCTTGTGGCCCCATTAGACAGCAGTCTGCCGTATTTTATTTGTGAAGTCTATCAAATTCACTGCCGTAGTGTGTGTGTCGTTCATTCCCTTTGTCTTCTCGAGCTTTGCTGGTCTTTATACCTCACTCACCTGCCAAACCCAGTACTCCCTTCACCCTTTCCCAACGTCTTACCCACTCTTCCGATCCTGAAATAAACCTCACTCAACTCAAGCTCTGTCCCCGGAAGTACTTCTTCACAGCTTTGTCCATTGCTAAATTCATTTCCTTACTTCGGACACCTCACTGTAATATCAACGGCCTGTTTTGAACAGCTTTTCGCGAGTGTTCACGCGCGGCTTTCCCTTTCTGTTCAAGATGCCGGCGCTCTTTGAGCCCATGCTATGTCACGTCATTACTGGTTTCTGCGCGTTCCTTTTCACATGGGTACGTGTAGTACTTGTTGCAAACGTTTATGGTTGCTCACGGGCTTGGCACTTCCAATGGCCGTTTGAACGTATTCTACGTTCATGCTTGGCTTACGTATCAGAGAATGTGCATGATTAACAATTGTGGTGGTCTCGATATTGTATTGTTGCTCTGACATTTTTATTATTATATACGCGCCACGGTCAAACAACTGAACCAGTTTTTTATGATTAAATATGTACGTTGCATTTCGTTCTCGTGGCTCTTGATTCCTGTCTCGAATCTACGATCATATACGTATTCTTAAGCTTAATTATCCTGACCCACACAGTTGCCAAGCCAGTGCATTCCTACCTACTAATGAATGAATCCCCTACCTACATGCCTAATGTACCCCCACCCACATTCCTCGCTATTAATAGCTCGCCTGTGCTGTGCAAGGCCAGCGTATGGCGGCTGTCATCCCACTGGCCCTATCCTTGCCTCTGTCGCAGGTTGTGCTGTTTTTAGCACAGAACGGAGTACTCCCCGTGTGGCTCAGCGGCATCTCCGGTATCACCGAGGTGCATTTGAGTCCTCTTTTGTTCAATAATTGGTGTATATATACATGCGCGTCCGAACGTATGTCATACTATACTATGTTGTATAATCATGCACCTCCGTGTGTTCAGATGTGCAGTATAAGTCAGGTACATAGGACTCTCGGGGTCTGCTGTGTTCAAGTGACACCTTATGCAGTGCTGTAAGAGGCTTGCCCGTGATGCGCCATGCGCGAGTGGCTCATTGGGCGTGGTACTGTAAGCGCGCTCGTCAGTGTCAGTGGTGTACTGTGCAACCAGGTGTGCATTGGTATACGTCCTGTCTAGTTTCAGAGTTAAGAACGGAGAGCTCGACACAAACACACACATTACAATGTCTATATTGTGTAAACACGAACACACACATTACAATGTCTATATTGTGTAAACACGTACACACACATTACGATGTCTATATTGTGTAAACACGAACACACACATTACAATGTCTATATTGTGCAAACACGTACACACACATTACAATGTCTATATTGTGTAGACACGTGCATTCACTACTACAATGTCTATATTGCGTAAACATATATACACACATTACTATGTCTATATTGTGTAAACACGAACAAACACATTACAATGTCTATATTGTGTAGACACGTACATCCACTACTACAATGTCTATATTGCGTAAACATATACACACACATTACAATGTCGATATTGTGTAAACACGAACAAACACATTAAAATGTCTATATTGTGTAGACACGTACATCCACTACTACAATGTCTATATTGCGTAAACATTTACACACACATTACAATGTCTATATTGTGTAAACACGAACAAACACGAACACACACATTACAATGTCTATATTGTGTAAGGCTAGGAAGGGTACCTGCCCATGTAAACGTATGCCAATATAAAACTTACACAATGCAAGTGTGTGCGAAACCTTCTAATCGTGACGTTTTACTGCCAAGGTGAGCATGGCCAGCGGCCACAAATGACCTTTGTAAGCATCGTCACTTCTATCCTGTGCTTATGCCATTGATGAGGTTACCGTCTCTTGTATCTTGTATTTACACTTCATGACAGCGTGTGGTCTTTTGACTGCAATGCTCTTAACATTACGGGAGTGGCCTGTCCTTGTACCACCCTTGGTGACGTTGTATGCACTTATAATTATGCGCACACTGTGGAAGTGGGGGTGTACCTGCGCTGTAAGAGATAGAATAACTTATGCTGTGGTCCATTCGATTGTAAAGGTCGTTCAACGGGGTCTTTCCTAATATCACGGGCAGGGTCTGTCGTTGTATAATTTTTGTCCATACACACACGTGTACACACACGCACACATATATATTATATATATATATATATATATATATACGAACACGCACACACATTTATACGAGCACACATACACACGAACACACACACACACATACAGTTCGAGCGAAGCATTCCAACCGAGGAGTTCTACTACTATGTGGGTGTGGGGGTGTGCTTGTGGTTGGCCTTTCTGCTGTCTGTGCGCAACACGTGGTACCAGGACTATCGCTGGGTGCCGCTGGAGCACAATCTTTGGTTTCATCCGCGGTATAATAGGTGAGCTATGTATTACACCAGATGTAGGTGTGCGTACGCATGGGCTATGTGAGAGTGCTTGGACATTACATTGGTAATATGACAGGAACATGTCTATAGATGGGCTATGTAACAGAACTTGTACATTGGTAATATGTCAAAGACATGTCTATAGATTGGCTATGTGAGAGTGCTTGTACTTGGTAATATGTCAAAGACATGCCTATAGATGGGTGACAGAATACGGTCTTTAATGTGATCCACTTTAAGCTAGATACGCCGGACTCCTGGTCCCAAATAGAAGGATTCATTGTACACACACACCGTAGTATCACGTGCGTGTCATCGTACTCGCTCTCCGTGTGAACACTACCCTTCTCATCCCCAAATAGAAGCGTGTATTTCACATACGTACGGTTATAGTATTATTCGTCTCACATGTGCGTGTGCATACTCACTCTCTGTGTGGACACTACCCTGCTTACACCATATAGAAGAGTGTATTTCACATACGTACGGTTATAGTATTATTCGTCTCACATGTGCCTGTGCATACTCACTCTCACCATATAGAAGAGTGTATTTCACAGACGTACGGTTATAGTATTATGTGTCTCACATGTGCGCGTGCATACTCACTCTCACCATATAGAAGCGTGTATTTTACATACGTACGGTTATAGTATTACGTGTCTCACATGTGCGTGTATTTCACAAACGTACGGCTATAGTATTATGTGGCTCACATGTGCGTGTATTTCACATACGTTCGGTTATAGTATTATGTGTCTCACATATGCGTGTGCATACTCACTCTCTCGACGGGGTTGTCCTTGCATTTAACATACGTACGGTTATAGTATTATGTGTCTCACATGTGCTTGTGCATACTCACTCTCTCGACGGGGTTGTCTTTGCATTTAACATACGTACAGTTATAGTATTATGTGTCTCACATGTGCATGTGCATACTCACTCTCTCGACGGGGTTGTCTTTGCATTTCACATACGTACAGTTATAGTATTATGTGTCTCACATGTGCGTGTGCATACTCACTCTCACGACGGGATTGTCGTTGCATTTCACATACGTACGGTTATATATAGTATTATGTGTCTCACATGTGCGTATACTTCACATACGTACGGTTATAGTATTATATGTCTCACATGTGCGTGTGCATACTTACTCTCTCGATGGTGGTGTCTTTGCCTCGCAGTGTGTTTGGCCCTGTCAGTTTATTGGAGAACATTGTGGCGCGCAAACTGACGCGCAGAGACGTCCAGGTGGTCCAGGCTGACGTGGACGCAGACGATGAAGACTATGGTGTGTGTGAGAGCATGTTTATCTGTATAGAAAGTTAAACTATGGTGTGTGAGAGAGCATGTGTATCTGTATAGAAAGATAAGACTATGGTGTGTGAGAGAGCATGTGTATCTGTATAGGACGATAAGGCTATGGTGTGTGTGTGAGTATGTGTATGAGATAAGTCTATGGTGCGTGAGAGAGCATGCGTATCTGAATAGAAAGATAAGACTATGGTGTGTGTGAGAGTATGTGTATATGGTGCGTGAAAGAGCATGTGTATCTCATGTGTATCTGTATAGAAAGATAAGACTATGGCGTGTTAGAGAGTATGTGTATAAGATATGACTATGGTGTGTGAGAGATTATGTGTATAAGAGAAGACTATGGTGGGTGAGAGAGTATGTGTATAAGATATGACTATGGTGTGTGTGAGAGAGTATGTGTATAGGAGAAGACTGTGGTGGGTGAGAGAGCATGCATGTCTGTATAGAAAGATAAGACTGTGGTGTGTGAGTTTACGGTAGACAAATCATGTGTGTTCTGAAGCATGCATATTCTCTTCGGCAAATGAAGACTATGACGTGTTTAATCTCCGCATGCATACCATGTGTGTATCATTGTATGTGTATTTGTGTATGTATACGGGGTCGTGATATAGAGTCGGGTAAATTGAGTTGTACTTTAGATGGGATGTATGTATTCAAGTCATGCACGGCCATGGCCATACAGAATATGAACACTGCGATAGGGTGGTGTTTAATTGACTGTGACATAGTAGCATGTGCGTGGTAAAACACTGAGAGTTTGTGCAGATTTACAGATACTTTTGTGTTTCAGGTATTAAGTGAGCGATTATATGCTACTATGCGTATACATACATACATACATACATACACAGCGAACGCAAGTCAATCCACTCAAGTCTGTGGCTCAACGGACTATCTCATGATTTACAGAAACAACCACACACATCAACCCCCTCTCGGAACACACTGAAGGCAGTCACTTGGGCGACAGTGGTGTGAGAGAGGCTTCAGCCAGCAGAGGTGCTATGAACATGTCTGGTCATGGGGCTATGGTGTTCATCTGCTCAACACTGTGGCACGAGACACGCGTGGAGATGAGCACATTGCTCAATAGTATGCTGACTGTGGACATGGTATGGTAAGGACAGGATTGGTATATATATATATACATATATATATATATATATATATATATAACTAAATAAATGTGTGTGTGTATACTATATATGTATTTATATAAAGTATTATATATAGATA